GGACAAGCGGCGCTCCACAACGGCAAGAAAGCCGCAATCCATCACAGGCATCAGAGCCAGGGGGCGGAGGGGGTGGAGGTTGAACGCAGAAGCCACTGGGGTGAGTTGAAATCTAATTAGAAGCACTAAATTGAAAAAAATGAGTCTCAATCCGGTTCACCCAGCCTTGTTTGTCTCGGGCGGCTGGGATTGCGAAGCCCACCTTTTTACGGCCGCACCCATCCTGCTTCGGTTCGGTTTCATTTGGTCTGATCACAGTGCTATCGCTTGAGGATATAGCATTCCAAACTGCTGGCACAATTCCTTCTGCTACACAGTAGAAGTACAATAGATTCGCAGAAGAGAACAGCTACAAGTTCCTCAGACAGTCCACCCCTTTCTCATGATCTGGTGCTTCCCATCTCAGTAACTCGCTCTGAGAGATTTGTAGGAGAAAGGATAAAAAACATCCCATTACTTACAGTTGGGAACAAATCAACAGCAAGAACGGACTTCAACAGACTAAAGAAAGGGAAAGGATACACTCAGCAGAGAGGCGGGGCTCTTGTTGAATTCAGAGGCAGGGAAGAGACGATTGGTTAGTCCTGGATAGATTGACAGTCAACCCAGCCAAGAAAAATCCCTCCCAATCAAACTTACTAAAGGCAGCATGAGAGTTTGCAAAAACTTCCAACAGTATAAAAGTGCCAAAGGAGGAACCTCATATTTCCATAATTGTCTTATTAAAATGATTGACGATGATGATGTAACTTTATATTCAGGCCGAATTTCACTAACTGGATGGTTGCTGGCTTGTAAGACCTTCCATTAAGAACATATTTTTAAATGTATGCTTTTCTTTAAGGGTCACTCAATTCCGCATGAGAGCTGGTGGAAACTACTGCCCAAAAAATAATAATAATTAAAAGGGAAACCGTAGCTACAATTTAAACAGAGTAAAACCCCACAAAAACACATAATGCAGAGAATTGTCATCATCCTCATGGGCCATCAAGTTAATTCTAATTTTTTTTTTCAGAGTTTCCCTCTGCAGACCGAGAAGCAATTCCATCTGGCAGAGACCGAAGGAGCCGTGTTTAACAAGCAAGGAAAATACTACCACCGACACCACCCTGGACTCATTTCCTTCATGCTGTTTTATGGAAAGCCGTGGTGTTCATTAAAAAAGGGCGGGAGACGGACCAGGAGCGACATACAGGGGAGAGCGAGGTCAGGGTGACCCCCAGCGAGAGGTGGATCTGCTCGAGGGGTGTGTGGGTGGGAGAAGCGAGATGCATTTTTCTTTTTTTAAAAAAAAAAAATTTAGAGGCGAAGTTGAAGGAAGAAAAGATCAGCGTCGCTTCGTGGCTGAAATTCAGGATTAAGTCGCTACTCGTCGAATCGATGGAATTTAGGGTGGAATTGACTCATCAAAGCCCCGCGGAGTCCAACTTGATTCGTTTGAAACGGTTCTCGATCAAAGCCTGGAGGCCAAAATGTTGAAACGGAGGTGTGTGTGTGTGTGTGTCCTCCTTTGGGCACCTCACGAAAGGGGCAGGATCCTCTAGAAAAGTCAGCGACACCGGGAAAAATGGCAGGCAGTAGGGGAAGAGGAAGCCCCCAACGTGAGATGGACAGGCTCCCTCAAGGATTCCACAGGATTGAGTCTGCAAGAGCGGAGCAGGGGTGTTGAGGAGGGGATATTTTGGAGGTCGGTCATTCACGGAGTCGCCCTCAGTCGGAGAGGACTTGAAGACACACAACAACAACGTCTCCTTGCTGCTCGAATTACAGGCAATGTTACGAATATGGAGGAGTTCCTTCCAACCTCTGTCTGAATGATGTACAAAGCAGAGTGACCTCCTTTTCTGGGGGGGGACACTTGAGATCCTCCACCCATCCCATCGTCCCCGATGACATTGGCTTTGCCCCCTTGACGATACTGCCTTCAAGCATCACCCACTCGTTTCGGGCGGTTGTTGGAACCGCTTGGCGAACGTTCACGGGCTTAACTATGAGTGAGACATACGAGGGCGCGGAAAGGAGAAATATTGCCCGTCCTTCACAGATCTCAGGGGAAAAGAGAGAGATGCTAAACCAGAGAAAACAGGTCGAGCACACAGTCCCATCATCCCCATCAACACCAAGTCCCAATGCCACCTTCAGCGAAGAACAAACCTTCCGTCTCTCCCTCCTCCTTATTTAAGAAAGAAATCATATATTTAAAACATGGAACTTAAAAATTATGAATCCTCTCTCTGAACTTCTTCTTTTTTAATGTCCGCCTGTACAGCAACCCTACAAGCTGGACCCATCTAAATTCGCACACAGAGCCGGCGACCCTCATTCTATCTTATTTCTTGAGTTCAGCCTCTCTTTCTCTCTGCCTTGCTCGCCGATCCGTGCGCCTGATGGCATCCGGGAAACACCACGTTTCCAACTCCCGAGAAGCCCCCTTCTTCCCTGGTTTCTGCATCTGCCCTTCCGGGGATACACTCTGCACTCCCTCAGAGGCACGACCTCATTCCACGTGTCCCTGGGCTAAATAAATCACTTTTTTAAAAAAGAGGTAGCATTGCACATTTCCTAAGAGGGAACAGTTTAGCCTCCCCCCCCCATGTGAATACAACCCAGAAGGGGCACTAAAAATTATAAATAAAAATCTGACGATGACAAAGTTTCTCAAGGCCTACACCGGTTCCTGGGGGTGACTGCACCATCTTTGCCCCGGAAAAGACATCCTCCCAGGTGACCCACAGCTACCCACCAGGGGAGAGCGTTTCTAAGAATCAGATTGCCATGGTAGCTGGTCTTTGCCTGGGGTCAGAAAGGCCTTTGAGGGGAGATCCAGGTTGCTTTCAGGCCCTCCATCATCGCCTCTCATCGCGGACCCAGACAGAACTACAATCCCTCTCAATACAGACAGAACGCTGCTCCAGGAACCAAGAGGCCTGTGTAGCTCCCGAGGCTGCGGTCCTTTATGGAGAATGGAGATGTTTTATGATTCATGATTCGTTCCTGCTATTCCTCCCATACTTCAGCCCCACTGCGGAGCCAAAGTGGGGGTGGGCGTTTTCGGCAAGGCAGGGCACCCCACAGGCCACGGACCCCCCCTCCTTTGGGCCCAGATGGCCATTTTCAGAACATAACTCTGCATGAGGCCTTGAGGAGGGGGGAAGAAATATATGCAGGGCACCCACTCCAGCAGGGCAGCGAAAGGCTCCCCACCAGGTTTTCTAAGCAGCCTTCTAGGGGAACTGTCCGTGGTGCTGATGAGTTGAGCCACATGGGTAGGCCCCCATGGAGAGAAAAGGAAGACCTGGCCTGGATTCACCAGTCCCCCCCATGAACCTGGAGTCACCTGGAGCTGCCCCCCAGCTACCCCAACAAGGGCACCATAAACGAAGACCCACCAGAAATTGATGTTATTACGCCACCCATTTCCACAAAGATCAGGACGAGAATTCTCGGCGCCGCACCAGATTTATCTCCACATTTCTCCTGCCGTGAAGACAATGAAGAGAGTAATCTCGTGACTCCGGTTCACGCTCGCCATTATTCTGCTGCGTAACCTTCTCGGGCGTTCCTGATCAGCCCTTCCAACTGGCCACTAGCCTGCGCTTTTCTTTAAATTCTAATTTTTTCCCCCCTGCTGTTATTCCTGCCTGCCACATTCTTCTCTCAGCCCACTAGAAAAGCCCAGGGAAATATTTTGATTAAAACGTCCCGCAAAATCATCAATACATCCTTTTTCTTCCTGCGGCTCTGTTTAATTTGTTGACGCTCGCAAGGCGACTGTTACATTGCGTTGTTACTGTTATTTTTTTTTTCTTTATTTGGTTTTACTTGACTCGGTTACGTAACTGTTCTGAGGTTCCTTTGACAGCAAAGGATGATTGTGGTTTTCCTGCCTTGCTACATAGCAGATGGCTTTGCCCATTTTGTTTATTGGGAAAGAGAATACCGATGATATTGATTTTAAGAGGATGATAAAAAAGGCCCCCGAAAGGAATCAACCCAGGCTTCTTCCTGATGGAGTTATTGCAACCTCGCATCCTGCTTTTAGTAGGTTCGACTGGGCGGGGCCTCTCTCGGCTGTCAATCACTAACAGCACAAACCAATAGTTCCTATTCTGCCTCCAAGCCCCGCCTCTCTGTTCTGCCTTCCCCCCTCTACCTGTTTGAAGCCTGTTGTTGAAAGCACTCATGTTTTTAGCTTGCTGTTTTCTGTTCAACTGTAAGTAAATGAAAAGTTTTTTTAAAAAATTTCTCCCACTAATGTCTCAGAGTGAGTTACCGAGACTGTTCAGTGCCTGTGAATGAGGGAAACCGATGGACTAAATCAAGGGGGGAATTTGAAGCTATTTTGCCGTCAACCCCTGTACTTCTGCTGCTCAGCTACAGGAATTTAACCAAAATTTTAGAACTCTGCAGGAGTTTTAAGGGCCGACAGTCTCTCCCTCAGATATGGAAGAAAGAAAAATCACGGTGAACTGGATGGTTTGGAGACATAGAAGGAGCAAATCTTCTCATTTCGGCCCTGCTCCAGCCATTGGACAGACAACCAGATTACAGTGGCTAGACATTGACTTTTTGCGATCACTATAGCGATTTGCAAAACAGTGACTCCTACGGGGGAATTTCGCTGGACAATGTTTGGTCCCTGCTTCGCAAACCGATTTTGGCTAGATGACGATTTTGACAGCTCCCTCCGTGCTCGCAAAACAGGTGTTTTTGGGAACTAAGCTTCGCAAGACAGCGATTTAAACAGCTGATCGGGTGGTTTGCAAAGCGGCTTTCCTATGGCCGATCTTCGCTAGACAACAATGATTCTTCCCCATTGGAACGCATTAAACAGGTTTCAATGCATCCCAATGGGGAAATGCTTTTCGCTAGACGATTATTTCGCTAAACAGCGATTTTCAGTGGAACTGATTATCATCGTCTAGCGAGGCACCACTGTATCTGGAGAAAGTGTCCTTTTTTTCCGGTCCTCAACCCCAGAAATGGAAGGACCTTACCTGAACTTCCCGGGTGTGGTAGGCGATGATGAGTCCCAGCAAAATGACAGTGGAGAGGCTAATAAGGCATTTCAGCGCCAGGGAGAACATGGAATTCTACAAAAATAAAAAGCAGAAGGAGCCTGTGAGTTAAATGAGGGGTGGGAATATTGTTCAAGGAACGGTGGGTGGAAAGTGGTGGAGAATTCTCAAGGAGAAAGCAACGAAACAGCAACGAGGAAGAAAGGAAATGGAGTGGGGGGGGGGAGTCCAGCAGAAAAGGAAGACAAAGCTCAATAAATTAGGACCCCCTCTTTGCCGTGGATCAGTTCCAAGTGGATGCTGAAAACCGCAGATAAGAGCAAACACTATAATAATAGTGAATTTTATCATACTGTACTATGGTCTCTGGCTCCCTCTAGTGGTCAGTTCTGGCCAATTCCTTGTTAAAATGTATATTTTGGCAAGTTTTTAAACTTCTCGACCTGTAGATAAGCGGATCCGTGGATACTGATCCCGCAGATAAGGGGGGGGGTCCTACTGGACAGTCTGATTCATCCTGATCCCGCAGATAAGGGGGGTCCTACTGGACAGTCTGATTAATCTGAGAAATACCGTATTTTTCCATGTATAATACACCCCCACTTTTCTAACTCCAAAGTAAGAAATCCAAGTGGGACTCACAAGTGTACGGGGAAACGGATCAAAACCCTGCAGGATCACTTTGATCCTTGCTTTCCCATACACTTGTTTTTGTTCTCTCCTCAGCTTACTTCTGTGTATAAGACGACCCTCAATTTTTATTCTAAAGATTTTAGATAAAAGTATAATCTTATACTGTACTGTACACAGAAAAATACGGTATATTTATTGCCTTTTCATTCAGCCAAGACTTAGAGTGTTTCTGCTCTTTTCTGGATTATCTCCTGCCTTTTTCTTCAGCCTGAAAGTGGGAACTGTCCGATTACTGGTTTGTGTCAGCCATGGACGAGGAGCAAGCACATCGACAAGCAGGGCAGGAGAAAACACCTGGGGACGATGGGAGTTGTCGTCCACGGCCAGGAGGCACAAGGCTGTGGCCGGTGGCTCTGGGTTCGAGAGCAGCTAAAGGTGGGGAACAGATTTGGTTCGGGGATGGTCCCTGAGGACCCCGAGCTCCATCTATGGCTTACAGAGGGTGTGTGAAGTTCGGAACAAAAGCCGTCACGGACGTAGCTCATCCTGAGCCTATACCCCTGGCTGGCTCCTGTCGTCACCCAGCGGTACCTGCTCCCTTTCACTCTTCCTCATTAATTTTAAGCTATTATTGGGGAACTAATTGCACCTCCAGCAGGATCAGATCGGCCAGATTGCTTTCGTTTTTATAAATCCCCTCCTGCCTCCAGTCCTTCTGAAAAAGGGGAGGGAAAATACAGATTTACACACATACACACACTAATATATGTGAAGCAGGCTAAGCCATCTTATCGCGGTCTTTATCTACTGGCTGTAAGATTTACAGCGCAACTCTGCGCATGCCCAGGGGCACCCGGCCATTCTTTTATTCTTATTAAATTTAGAAGACGCTCTCCGTCCACGGAGAAAATAGATTAGGGCTGCCATCCAATCCATTTTGCTAGAGGGAAAAGAGGCATCATCCTGCCACCCTTGAAACAGGGTGGTCCAGTCCAGTTCGGGCTTGGATGGGAAACTCCCAAGAAATGTCAAGAATTCCAGATAGGGCTAGAAATAGACCGATGGGAACCCAATAATTCAGCCAAAGAAATCACCCCGAAATCCAACATTAGGAACCCTCGCGTTTCTGACGACAAAATCCACACTGAGTAAAGATTTTGGCAACCTCCGAAGTGAGGGATGCTTTGAAGCTTAATTAAAAGGTCCCTCCAATAATGGCGAAGCTGGGCTTTTTTTTAAAATATATATATATTTTTAAAGGAAGGTTCCTCTCTGATTTTCTCTATTACCGGCCATTGATGTCTCTGCGTGGAATAATCGTAGGATTAATCCCGCTGGGAGCGGCTCCCTCATTTACACGCACCCCGAAAAGACATTAAAATCTCATTACACGGAGAAAGCTCACCCCCTGCTCGGTTTCTCTCCAGGCGCTTGGCATTAAATATTTCTCATCTAAAACCCGGCAGAAAAACCCAATTAGTGGCTCTGGAGGGCTCAAGGTGGTCTGAAATGAACCCTTTGGGGACTATTTGAGGAAGGAGCCACTGGATTGGGGACTATTTGAGGAAGTAACACTGAAAAAATGTACCAGCGACCGGCACAGCTCTATTGGATCTCAGGGTTCCAGATTCAAATCTTCCCAATGGAGGGGAAAAACAATGGCAGACGTTTTCAAGCTCTGCTTATGGAGGTTAAAAATACCAATATATCCAGGGCATATTTTGGCTCTCTCTCTTTTTTAAGACAGAGTCCTGGGTGACACATAAATTGACATGTGATATGAAAAATAAGAAGAGGTTTGTCAAAAAAAAATAATGATTTTAAGAAAATACGGAGTGTGGTCCTGGAATATGCATTTCGGAGAGGGAAAGGGTATACGCCGAGGGAAGAAACAATGACTTTTTGGAGAGAAAATGGATTGAATGAAATTTAAAGCATTATTAATGCTAGCCCTGAGGGTGATGGTGGCACTAATGAGATATATAATTGTATTTTTTGTGTGTGTGATAGTAGGCTTATGTTGTGTAATTTGATAGATAAATAATAATAAAAAATAAAAAAAGACTTATATTTCAAGGTTCACTAAAACATTGCTTCTGGTTGGAATATTCACCCTTCCCTCCCCAAATAAAGCTCACCATAGGTGAGCAGGAAAGAAAAATATGTAAAAAGTCTGGGGTATAATAAAGTGTCTCTCTTTAAACTGGACTTGCTCTCTGTATCTTTGATGTTGTAAATGGATAGATGGATAGATGGATGGATGGATGGATGGATGGATGGATGGATGGATAGACAGACAGACAGACAGACAGACAGACAGACAGACAGACAGACAGACAGACAGACAGACAGACAGACAGACAGACAGACAGACAGACAGACAGACAGACAGACAGACAGACAGACAGACAGACAGACAGACAGACAGACAGACAGACAGACAGACAGACAGACAGACAGACAGACAGACAGACAGACAGACAGACAGACAGACAGACAGACAGACAGACAGACAGACAGACAGACAGACAGACAGACAGACAGACAGACAGATAGATAGATAGATAGATAGATAGATAGATAGATAGATAGATAGATAGATAGATAGATAGATAGATAGATAGA